ATATGTGCGAGCTTTGCAACATCTTCAAAATATGTTGCTCACACACATGTATCTGTGGACTAATCACCTGTGTATCTCACATAAACACAATTAGTCCACCTAAGTTGTCACTCAATTACCGAAACCACACAGGGACCTTTCAAGCCTAAACAATTATAAAACAATAATTATGCAATTAGGGTTTCCTAGACATTTCATACACATTTCGGGGCGTTGGTGCCTGCGCGGGGCGGCCGGCCAGCGTCGGTGGCCGAGCAGGGTTTAGGGTGGTTTAGGGTTTAGGGTATAGGCCACATGGTATGAGAATATAACACAATTGATTTTTTTCCTAAGGAAAAATTATACATGTATACATTAATTATATATATATATACACACATTAATTTCATACATATATACATTAATACACATTTCATCAATATAATTCATAAATATAATAAATATAATATATATATACCGGCGGTTTAGAATTAATGGAATGTTGGCGACGGGCGGTGGTGGACAAAAGTATAGTTAACAAAAGAATATAATCAATTAAATGGTTTTTTCTCTTATTAAATAAATGTTTGGGTGCTTTCTTGTCGAGAAAGTGACTTAGTTCAGATGGCTAGCTAGTGCGTTGCAGTTTGGACCTTGGCTATGAGGTCGTGGGTTCAATGCCTGGCTGTCCCATTTTTTTGTCCAGCGCGACTATATTATTTTATCAAGAAAGATTTTATCCCGGTTATAGCCCAGAGCCAGGACTAAAGGTCATCCTTTAGTCATTACCGGCTGGAGCCTCAAGCTAGGAGTAAAGATTTATTCCCGGTTGGAGGGTCCAGCCGGGACTAAAGGATAACCTTTAGTGCCGGCTCTGGGCTATAACCGGGACTAATTGTTGCCTACCGTCGCCACACACTTGGGGCAGGAACTTTGTATCCTTGTTTGAGGATACAACCGGGACTAATCACTACCGGAAACGGCTTATTTGCCGACGGCCGGGAGGTTTGCCGATGGCCAGAGAATAAGCCATCGGCAGACCACAGGATTTGCCGATGGCAAAGCAGAGCCATCGGCAAAGATATTTTGCCGACGGTCCAGACATCGGCAAAGACAGGCCATTGCCAAAGCCGATCTTTGCCGATGGCAAAGCCATCGGCAAACCCGAGCCATCGGCAAATACTAATCTTTGCCGACGGCCAGGCCATCGGCAACATCCGACCATCGGCAAAATTGGCCCAGGGCAGACACCGGCCGACGCCGTGCCCTTTGCCGATGGCCTTGCCGTCAGGCCGTCGGCAAAAGGGAAGGCTATGCCGACGGCCGCGGCCATCGGCATAGACAGGCCACGTGGCCGCCTCAGGAGCTGCCGGACCCACCGTCTATGTCGATGGCTGGCCATCGGCAAACCTACTTTGCCGACGGTCTTAACATGCCGTCGGCATAGTTTGAATTTTTTTTGTTTTTTCAGCCCATTTTTTTTCTGGTGCCTTCCTACATCGCAAAACCCGCACATCTCAAAGTACAAAATTTGACGAGTTGTGGAGTATATGGGTTTAATTATTCCGACGCCACCACTTGCTCGAAACTTTTGAAATTTTTACCACGGCCTCCACATGCCATGACAACACAACTTTTCAAGTTTCACAATTTGGATTCATGGATTTTATATAATTTAAAAACACTTTCCACGTATCGAACTCATGAAATTACGACGCCAACATGGTCGCTATTTCATGCGAGCTCCTCGATACGTGGAAAAGATACTCCTAGAATCATGAATACCATCTTATCGAATCAAAAATCCCATTATTTCATGTACCGCAGTCATCAAATTTGGAGTCGCCATGGTAAAAATGCAAAGAAAGCAAGTAAATAATTAACAAAATATAGCTAAAAAACTCAAAATTGTCCCAACTTTTGAAGTTGGGTTATATTTGATGTAGGCAGGCACCAGAAAAAAATGGGCTGAAAAAAACAAAAAAAAATTCAAACTTTGCCGACGGCATGTGAAGGCCGCCGGCAAAAAGTTTCTTTTTTGCAATGGCCGGGCCTGTAGCCATCGGCAAGGTGGAGGCCAGGACGGCCCCCGAGGCCGCCACGTGATGGTTCTTTTGCCGATGGCCATGGCCGTGGCAGTCAAGAAACACATTTTTTTTTTAAAAAAAAATTAAAAGGCGAGGCCCAACCCACCCATCCCAACCCTAACCCCATCCCCATCGCGCCCGACCCCTAACCCCATCCGCCCAAGGCTCTCCATTGCGCCACCACCACCACAGCCTCCGCCCACACACAGATCTCCGCCGGCCCGCCAGCCTCCCTGCTCCCCCTCAGAATGCCACGGGCCCGTCAGGTCCCCTGTCGCCCTTGCATTCTCGACCGGCCGGCCGAGGACCGGCCACACACGCCACGCCTGACCGGTGAGGAGCTCGGGGGTCCTCTCCGCCGAGCTCCCCCTCTATCCCCGCCGAGCTCCCTCTCCCCCAACCCAACTGCCCACCGTGTCCCCGCTGCCCACTCCTGCCCCGCCCCGCATTGGTGGCTCGACCGGCCCGGCGAGGACTGCCGCCACATGCCCGGACCGGGTGAGGAGCTCGGGGCTCTCTCCCGCCGAGCTCCCCCTCTGTCTCCCTGAGCTCCCTCTCCCCCCCCACCCAACCCGCCCACAGGAAGAAGAGGAAGAACAAGGAGGAGAAAGAAAAAGGAAGAAGGAACAAGGAGAAAGAGAAAGAGGAAGAAGGAGAAGGGAGGAAGGAGGAAGAAGGGAGGAAGAAAAAGAAGGGGAGGAGAAAAGAAGGGAAAAAGGAAGAAGAAGAAGGAGAAGGAAGGAAGGAAGGAGGAAGAAGAAGAGGAGGAGGAGGAAGAACCTCAGACCGACGACCTTCCGTACCGTTCGTCCACGCCGTCGTCCTTGCGCGTCGCCGACGAAGAAGGTAAAGCCCCAGGGTTATCGGCCTTCGTGTCGATGTGTCGTTGATGGCCTTCGTGCCGGATTATGGTTGTGTGAGCCATCGTGCTCGAAATGTGGACGTCGACCATCGTGCCGGCTTTTTCTTGTAGGTTTTGGAAACCTCCCCGCACAGGGGAGGTTCTGCCGAAATTTTGTACTTATAGTGTTGTTTTTCTTGTTTTGCAGAGCAGGGCTTGTCGGAGGGGACCCGGAGCACCTCGGCGACCCTGATCGTCGACCGGCCCGCTACCCGCCTCTGCGCCCCCACCCTAGGTATAAATCACCTCATACTCGCTTACGCTTATGCGCATGATGAGGATGGTGACCGTGAGTGGATGTACACGGGGTTCAAAGACAAGACAGAGGAATGGGTAAAGGGGACCGGTCACTTCCTAGAGCAAGCATTTGGCCCAGCTGCTAAAGGGGCATTTCGGGTGTGGTGTCCCTGTAGCAAGTGTAAGAACGACAAAAAGAAAGAGAGGCGGCCGATGTACCATGATATTTGGAAGAACGGATACGTTCCAAACTATACTCGCTGGATCCTCCATGGGGAACGCCAACGGCTTAGGGAGGTGGTGGTGAGACCGAACCTCGAGGGGTTTGATGCAGATGCCGGAATGGCAGACTTGCTGGCAGACGTTAATGAAGCGCTGTTCGTTCAAGGAATGGAGGTGGAGGAAGAAGATCCAGAGGAGACCGCAAAGGCGTACTACACCATGATGGAGGCGGCACAACAGCCCCTTCACGCGAACACCCACATTTCTAAACTGGATGCTATTTCACGCCTAATAGGGTTGAAGTCGTCACTGGGCAAATCCCAGGTTTGCCGACGGCTTCCCAGGCCGTCGGCAAAATGACCATAACTTTGCCGATGGCCGGCCGTCGGCAAAAATAGTTTGCCGACGACCGTGGCCGTCGCCATAGAAATTCCGAAAAAAAAACGCTTTGCCGATGGCCGTGCCGCGTCAGCCGTCGGCAAAGCCGCCGTCAGCCTAACGGCGCGTCGCCTGACGTGGCGCCTTTGCCGATTGCTGATGTGGCCATCGGCAAAGCTTTGCCGATGGCCTGATAGTTGGCCGTCGGCAAACCTCCCTTTGCCGAAGAAATGTCTGCCGATGGCTCTTTGCCGACGGCCACGTCGGATTGCCATCGGCAAAGCCTTTGCCGATGGCAATCCAGACTTCGCCGATGGCTGCGGGCCATCGGCAAACAAGCCGGATCCGGCAGTGAATAGTCTCTTTAGTCCCGAACACAAAAATACCGGGACTAAAGGCAAAAATAGAGGCGGGATGAAAGGTCTGTTTTCTAGTAGTGATTGCTGAACAAACAGAGCACGCATACTGGTTGATTGACTCATGATACATATACCAGTGTTTAGCTGAATAATAATGTATCTGCACATGTTCAGAAAGTTGTTTTATTTGGTACTTTTGGGTGCAATAAGTAGCTGCATTTGTACAGTTTGGACAGTACCGAGTTCACTGTGGTGACATCAAGGGAAGGTCAAGTGGATCTTTCTTTCAGGAGCACGTATAATCCATCACGCCGAGACAGTGTCCGGCTAAACGTTGACACAAGAGGTACGTAGTGTGGCGTTATGTTATATATATATATATATATATATATATATATATTCTATGCATTCAGAATTTCAGTTTCATTGTTCAACAAACGCAATGTTTTGTTTCAGTTATATGCCTCCTCTGAAATACCGTACCGCAAGTTACCTGACACATTTCCGAAAATAGCGTAACTGTTGTCGTTGGTTCCATCAATTCCAGGTTTGTGATGCTGAAAAGCAGCTCCGGGTTCTACTGCTACGCCATCTTTGAGGACAACAGCAGCTGGCCTGCTCTCAACGTCTGAGGCACGGCTGGCTTTCAAGCTCAACGCAGACATGTCAGTACTAGAGGGAGTACCCATGCAATACATGCATGCATATTTTATTTTATTTTTGAAAGAACATGCATGCATATTGTTTGAGAGTTCAGACAACGACCATATATTATTTACAATCGCTCTGCACTTCACTTCACAAACTTGTGGATGATATATATGTAGGTTCAACTACATGGCGATCTCAGACGACAAACAGAGATTCATGCCCAGTGAAGCAGACAGGGACGCGCCACGTGGCGCCCCGCTGGCCTGCAAGGAGGCCGTCCTGCTGGCGGACCCCGTGGAGCCGCAGTTCAAGGGGGAGGTGAACGACAAGTACCAGTACTCGATAGACAACAAGCACAACGCCGTCCATGGCTGGATCAGCAGCAGCAGCCACATGGGGTTCTGGGTGATCACCCCCAGCAACGAGTTCAAGAGCGGCGGGCCCATGAAACGGGAGCTAACCTCCCACGTCGGCCCCACCTCCCTCGCCGTGTTTCTGGGCACGCACTACGTCGGCGACAACATAGTGCTGAACCTCGGCGGCTCGGCGACGGCGAGCACTGGAAGAAGGTGCTGGGCCCGGTGTTCATCTACCTCAACTCCAGCCTCAGGAGACCCTTTCAACTTCCAAGTTGGTTTTATTTTATTTATAACTACCACCACTAATGGGCCTTGGGATTTATTTGATTAATTAAATAATTGGCCCAGCCCAATTATTCTAACACGCTCGTGGTCAGAGACAGGTTCGTCGTTGGCGGCAGCCGCGACGTGGCGCCGGCCGCGGCGGCCTACGTCGGGCTCGCCGCGCCCGGCGGGCAGCCCGGGTCCTGGGTGACGGAGTGCAAGGGCTACCAGTTCTGGACGACGGCGGCGTCCTCCGGCGCGTTCAGCATCGGTGGCGTCCGGGCCGGGGTGTACAGCCTCTACGCGTGGGTTCCGGGGGTCCTCGGAGACTACGTGCACACGTCCACGCTGACCGTGACGGGCAGGATGGGCGGTCCACCTCGGCGACCTCGTGTTCGTGCCCCCGAGGTCCGGCCCCACGCTGTGGGAGATCGGCGTGCCTGACCGGACCGCCGCGGAGTTCTTCGTCCCCGACGCCGGTACCAGATACGCCAATAACAAGCTCTTCCTGGGCAAAGACAGGTACAGGCAGTACGGTCTGTGGGAGAGGTGCGCCGAGGTGTACCCTAGGAGTGATCCTGTGTTCACGGTTGGGCACAGCCATCACTCCAAGGACTGGTTCTTTGCGCATGTCACAAGGTTTATATCTGTACTGAATTACTGAAATACATACGTACTGAAGAACTCTGTCAGTGCTACATCTTGGATTGGTTTCACATGCATGCATGCAGAGAATTTTTTTTAATTTTAACCATTTTTTGAATATAATTTTAAATCTAACACTGTCGGATTTTTTTTTAACTAACACTTTTAACCGTGCCTATTATTCTGGCGCGGCCAAATGCCTGTGCCGTGCTATATATGATAGTGCGGCAGAGGTATGACATGGCGACAATCAGGACTGCTGACCAATGATGTGGCAGGATGTGTCGCGACCGGCTCCGCCGCGCCATCACTCCCGACGCGGCAGTCCCGGCTAATCCAGCCTCGCATGCACCCCTTTACGGCGTTGGTTTCGAGACGAGCCATGAATGTGGCCTCGCTCGCCAACTGCGCAAGCCGTGGTCTAAGGGTCTGTTTAGATTCCAAAAAATTTTACACAGTATTCATCACATCGAATCTTGCGGCACATGTATGGAGTATTAAATGTAGACGAAAAAAAAAACTAATTACACAGTTGGGTGAGAAATCACAAGACGAAACTTTCGAACCTAATTAGTCCATAATTAGACACTAATTGATTGATAAAAACGAAAGTGCTACTTTAACCACCATCCAAATATTTTTTTATCTAAACGCGCCCTAACTAGAGTACTCGTCGTCGTCGCAGCGTAGGTTAGGGGCCTAGGGCCTAGAGGTACGGTGACGCAGGTCGTAACCGGCGGGGCGCCCTGCTTTCAAAGCGCACCGTCACGCTCCAGACCGGCGCAGCGTCCACCCCTGACGGTCACGACGGTCGATGCGGCATGCCTGCCGCGGCTGACGCCATCACGCGCGCGCCACACGAGGCTGAGAGGAGTAGCCTAGCACTACCGTCCGATCGCTGTCAGCTCAAGTCAATAAACGAAGAAAATACATGTTTCGATACAGTGGTGTATACTGTAGCTGCTGCATGCGGTGTGCGGACTGCGGACTGCGGCGTGCATGTGTTTCGATGTGATAAGCTAACCACTGTCGGTTTATACTGTTGCTGCTGCATGTTTCGATATGATAAGCTAACCACTGTCTACGAACATGTGTCCTCTTTTATTCTATTTTTTAATAACTCAATTTGATACCTCGGGGCACTAGTCAAATGTTCCATAACTTCATCACTTTTTACTTCTCTAGAAGGGAACGACGGGCATAACAGTTCCTTAGTTGTTCTTTACGAAAGTTAAGATATTATCGGCATATAATCGAATAGTGTTGTTTCTAATTAATGGGAGGACACCAGATTGGAGCATTCTAGTCTCAATAAAAAAGTGAAATAGTTTTGCCTTTATTTCACTGCCTTCTTTGTCATTCTCTTTGTTTGAAGAAGAAAAATCTATCCAGATGTTTATAATGTAATCCTGTATGATAATATTGAAGGTAAAGTCAGTGTTTTATATTTGACCATATAGCTAAAGCACATATAAATAATATTCTGATTGATAGCAACTACTTGCATCCATTCAATAGTTGTCACTCAAGCGTATTGCAGGTTTTGTCATTTGCATTTTGTAGTCAGTATTGTTGTCGGCAACATTCTAAATTTAGCAAAGTAATTGTTGTTTTAAAAATTTTAGCAACATTCTAAATACCGAAGGTGAATATTAAACTTGAAAACATGTTCTTGCTTTTATTGAAAAGAAAAAAATTATGTTTGTTTTTATAGAGGGAGTACAAACAACGATTTAAATTTGGTGCTGTTTAGTAATGTGCACAGTAACGCAAATGTAATAAAAATTAGTTCATTTGTATCTGCCGTCGTTTGCAGGCTTAAATTATTTTTGTTTGCGTTGACCTCCTCTCCGGCTTGGTCAAAGTAGCAGGGTAGCAGCATCAGGACAGGTCTATCCGTCTATGACAAATCCATTGGTTTCCGAGGCACGTGGTTTGGAAATATAACAAGCTCTTCCTGGGCAAAGACAGGTACAGGCAGTACGGTCTGTGGGAGAGGTGCGCCGAGGTGTACCCTAGGAGTGATCCTGTGTTCACGGTTGGGCACAGCCATCACTCCAAGGACTGGTTCTTTGCGCATGTCACAAGGTATATATCTGTACTGAATTACTGATATACATACGTACTGAAGAACTCTGTCAGTGCTACATCTTGGATTGGTTTCGCATGCATGCATGCAGAAAGGTTGGCAATCGCTACGTGCCCACGACGCGGCAGATACGGTTCGACCTGGGCCGTGTCGCCGCCGACGGCAACTACACGCTGCGCATCGCCGTCGCAGCTGCACAGCTGTCCCGGCTACAGGTACCTAGTAGTACAAATTAACAACAATTCTGAGTTATGCATCCATGCGTTCGAATAATTGTGAATTGCAGGTGCAAGTGAACGGCGGCGGCGGCGTGTTTACGACGCCAGATTTGGGCGGTGGCAACGCGATCGCGCGGCACGGCGTGCCGCGGAGCTTCGAGTTCCGGGTGAGGGGCGGCCTGCTGAGGGAAGGCGAGAACAGGATCGACATCGCGCAGACGAGGGCGTTCGGGCCCTTCTTGGGGGTCATGTACGACTACATCAGGCTGGAAGCGCCTGCCTAGTAGCGAGTCATTCAAGACTGTATTGTTATTATTGTTATACCAGTGCGCAGTGCAGTCATAGCTACATACGGTGGTCGGTGGATAGACAATTGCTGGATGAAGCAAGAGGGAAAATGTAGCCAAAGAAAGTACCTGTATTCTGTGCTACCTAGCTACAAATTGCATAGGCCTGGCAGTTTTGGGACATACTGAATTACTGATACAGAATTAGTTCAGATTTTCCTCGCAAAAAAAAAAGAATTAGTTCAGAATTATTCGAACACACGGATATGTTCAGAATTACCAACGTCCCGAGCCAAGACCAAAAGCAGGCTCAGGAATCTGTCAGGCGCCTAGAGCCTGACAGGCGCAGAGACGTTGTACTGTCTCCCCATTCCGAGGTCGCGAGGAACTGTAGGCCACTCCCTCGGTAGGGATGTAAAGCGTGACACATCAGCACAAGGGAGTCCTCAAGCCCTAGGGGCAGAGGGCTCCGAGCCAACTCGTCAGCCCCTTTGGGCGGGGGAGGCTCATTGTGCACCAAGGAAGCCTCGAGAAGGCTCACCCGGAGGAGGCCGCACAACGGTAGACAACACCTGACGATCAAGCACCAAACTGCACAGGAGTGTCAGGGAGTGGTTGCGATGTTGTCGGCCCCCTCCTACACGACAAAGGAGTACCAGACGGCGCCAAGACGAAGGAACCGCAAGCACCAGGTAGAGAAGCCCTAGGTTATATCCGACTCGATTTTTACGCCCCATGCCCTCCTCGGTATATAAAGGGAGGCATGGGCCCCTTTAAGAAGAGATCGAAACCATAAACACTTGGGACTGCTGATCTAGAGAATGATTAGCCCGAGGTAGAAACCAAGAACCCTAGGATGATAGCACCGTGCAATCCCCTGCCAAACTCTCTCAATTCCTCTGTTGTAAACCCGCGAATGGGCATTCCTAACACGAAAAACACCATAGTACTGGATATAGGGCTCTGAGGCCAGAACCAGGATAAATCGATTGTCCCTTGCGTGTTTTGAGTGTCCGAGCCACCAAAGACCCACATATCGACGTCCGACGAACAAACTCGATGCTTGCCACGGTTCCGAACCCGCGACACTACCAAAATCCTACTTGTAAGCCTCCGAGAAATGAGATTTTGCGCTAGATTTTTATATGGCCCCACTTGGAAGCTTGTGAAAATTGAGATAAAAAATGAGGAGACATGGGGATATTGGGGAAAAATCAATGAGGATGATCCATGGAGCAATTGTGGGCACTTACCATGGATTTGCGACACGTGTCCAAGCACATGTATCCAAAGAGTAATTGTTTTTTTTCCAATTATTTCTCCAAAAATTGATCAAGAACCCCATGCGTTAGATGCATGTATATGTACCTGTGTCATGAATCCACAACTGGTGTCTATGAACAATGATTGCTTCATGGGGACTGCCCCCACTAATTTTTTTCTCTTGATGGTGCTACCTCCTAGGTTTTACTTTTCACTTCCGAAGGAGGTGTGCATGGGGGCTGGTTCCATATGGGGTCTAAAAGATATTATATGACTAATCACCTGCTCAACATTTTAACAAACAAGTCAGTCATTTAATCTCTTTGCATCATTCCATCCACCAAAATTCATATAAGGACTAGATACGCTTTTACCATAACAAAAACACGTTATATGGCTTATAGCCAAAGGCGATCATAGGATCATGTTATAAGGAAACAGCGAGGGTATATGCTTGTTTGTGACTGCAGTGGCCAAGTCAAAGTTTGGTCATATCCAAAGAGGGCCAATGCCCAAACTTGGCAAAAATAAAAATGTTGATCAAGCGAGAAAACTACACTTTGTAGCTTGCAGTATATAAGCATTTACTAGGACCTTTTAATTGCACTACATCTAGGCATATCTTTTTTTAACCATTTGTAGAAGGTAGTAGTAGTGTTAAGGGCATGTTCGAATCTCATACAACCAGCAATTAGCTGCTAAAAAGTAGGTGAGATTTTATATGGATTCTCAGCTAATAAGTCAACTAATGTTTTACCTACCACCAAACTAATAGTTAGCTATTTATAGCTCGTTATTCTAACTAGTACAACTAATAGTTAGTTTGATGGATCCGAATGGAGCCCAAGAAGTACAACCAATTATAATTTAAAATCTCCAACACTAAATAGGTGTGCTAGCTGACAACTAAGTATACCAAAAAGAAATGGATACGCCAAAAACCTTCGTAACTAATGCTACAATCTTGGTAGATTTTCAAGAATTGTAAAAGGAACCTTAGTTTAATTTCAGAAACTGACTTTTTATTGAAAAAGTTGAACTGAAGTTGACCATTCAAAAAATGAGACAAAAAAATGAGAAGGCATGGGGCTTGATTGTGCTACCTCCTAGGTTATACCACTCACTTCAGAAAAATGACGTGTGGGGGCTCAATTCCATAGAGGGCGATCTAAAAGAGATTGCAAGACTAATCACCTGTTCAACATTTTAACAAACAGGAGTTAGTCATTTAATCTCCTTGCATTATTCAATCCACCAAAATCCTACTTGTAAGCCTCCGAAAAATGAGATTTTGCACTAGATTTCCCACTTGTAAGTTTCTAAAAAATCAGAAAAAAATGAGGAGGCATGGGGACTTGATTGGGAAAAAATCAATGGGGACGATCCCATGGAGCAATTGTGGGCACTTAATTACTATGGATTCGCGACACGTGTCGAAGCACATGCATCCAACACATGGAAGAGTATAATTGTTTTTCTTTCCAGTTATTCCTTCTATAATTGACCAAGAACCACATGTGCTAAATTCATGCACATAGACATGTGTCATGAATCCAGGACATGTGTCTATGGTTGCTCCATGGGAATGAACTCGCTGAATTTTTTTTCTCTTGATTGTGCTACCTCCTATACCGTTCATTTTCGAAAAAGGAGATGTGTGGGGGTTGATTTCATAGGGGGTCTAAAAAAGATTATATGACTAATCACCTGCTTAACATTTTAACAAACAAGTTAGTCATTTAATATCTTTGCATTATTCCATCCCACAAAATCCATATAAGGACTAGATGCACTTTTACATAACAAAAACACGTTATATGGCATATAGCCAAAGCCCATCACAGGATCATGTTTTAAGAAATGCGACCAAATAGGGAGGGTATATGCTTGGTTGTGACTGCAGTGGCCAAGTCAAACTTTGGTCATATCCAAAGATCAGGGCAATGCCAAAACATGGCAAAAATAAAAATCTTGATCAAGTGAGAAAACTAGACTATGTAACTTGCAGTATATAAGCATTTATTAGGGCCTTTTAATTGCACTACATCTAGGCATATCTTTTTTTACCATCTATATAAGGTAGTAGTAGTGGTGGTGGTGGTGGTGGTGCTAACACTACTGGAAACATGAATATTTCTGTGTGTGCAAAAACCCACGGAAAAATTCGAATACCCACGGAAAAATATTTTTCTGACGGTGTACCGTCAGAAAATAACACACAGAAATAAAATGACAGAAAAATCGAATTTTTCTGTGGGTTCACCGTCAGAAACAATTTTTCTGTGGGTCTCACACGCACAGAAAAATTGTGTTCGTCCAGATTAAAACTAATTTTTCTGTGTGTTAATCCACACAGAAAAACACATGTTTTTTTTCTATCGGTCTAGGTGAACTCATAGAAAAATTTATTTCTCCCAGATTAAAAATAATATTTCTGTGTAGCCAGCTTCACAGGAAAAAAGAGTTAAACACACAAAAGAATTATTTTAAAACAATAGCAACAGCATTTAAAATATATATTTTGCATATAGTAATTTTTGTGCATGACCAACAAGGTTTCATTCAAATAATACACAAATCAGTAGATCATCATGAATGGAGTCAACACTTATGTCAAAAATAGAATCAGTCTGATCTATCAGCACATATATCATCTACATGTTCAACATGAATACTACAATGAATTCACAAATATGGATATCGAAAAAGAAACCAAACTATTTTTTCTTGTTCAACCAATTGTAAACTGCTTCACCTTGCACTCCATCTCTACCTGTAAGAACAGTCAAATAAAATCATGGTGATAAATTCAATGGAAATAGTAAGGCTATTTGGTTAATCCAGATTCCACTCAATACATATCATTATCCATCGTCTTAAAATTGAAACACAGTATATCATATATTTATTCAAGTGAGCAACTAACCACAGCACATGGAAAAAGAAATCAAGCTTACCCTTCGATGTAGATGGAATTTGATTCGACGCTGCAAGCCACACTGGGTCAGTATCAGTCATCACAGTATGCGCTCACCTGCACTGACATGCATCTATTTGCCAAATCAGAGTAAAGAACTAAAGAAACTAGAAAACAATACCTCGTTGGTGCTCGTCAACGAAGGACTGAGGAGAGGAGGAACCAGGCACCAAAGCAAAAGGGCTCCCACCACCTCTAGCTAGTGGCGGCACCACAACACGGCAGAGTGGGCACTGGGCGACGTTGGCAGCATGAGGGCGCATAGTGGGGACTGCTTAGTACCTTTCATCTCAGGTCACAAGCCAATTTGATTTGCACCTAAATGGAAATGAAAACTCACAAAATATTCCACTGATTGGGGAGGCTGGAGTAGTGGAGGTGGAGCGGCTGCAAAGCCAGCAGATCAAGATAATTCATGGGAAGTGCATGCTAAGGTGCAGGACAATTCCACTGATTGGGGAGGCTGGAGCACTGAGAAGCCAACAGGCGAGGCAACTATATCTAGACAACCAGCTGAAATGGATACTTGGGCTGATAAGGGTGCTAAAATGGATTCAAATGCATGTGATGATAATTGGGAGAAGTCGTCTAGCACTCCTGAGGCATCAAATAAAAATGACCCATGGGGCAAATCAAAAAATACATGGGACAAAAGAAAAGGAGTTGGAGGTGATGGTGCCTGGGAGAAGAAGTCTGATGATGGCCATGGCAATTGGGAGCATCCCAGCAACTGGAATGGGCAGAGTTTGAATGTAGATCAGGACACGTGGGGAAATGCCAGGTGCAAAAAGAAGGCAGATGGTAACTGCCAATGGGAGGAGGAGCCAAGCACTTACAAACGGAAGAAGACAAATGCTGATCATGATTCCTCCTATAACAATGTGATGCCACCATCAGGCAATGCTTGGAATGCTGGAGATGGAATTGGAAGACCAAATGCCAAGTCAAATGCAGGATCCAGTCAAGCAAACAAAATTAGTATTAAACCGTGCAGTGTTGGGACTATGGTAAGAGCCACAAGACAGTGACCATCGTCAGAAATTTCACATTTGAAAGTATTATCTAAGTTTCACAGTCCAAGGCAACAAATATATGATTTGCATGCAAAAAAGTCATGTTCTTCTACAAATAGCAATCTAAAAATCACAGAGCTCTATTGAACTGAGCTAATAGAAAAGAAACTATTGGTCATTCTAGATCCATTAGAGAGCAGTATGTCAAAAGCACAAGAATTAAATATATTTCACCTGGAGCAAAAGAACAAGAGCAAAAGAACCCGAGAAATGGCTCAGATTTACCCATTATTAGCATGACAACTGCAACTTAATTTCACCTGCAACTTAATTTAATTCTCTCTCTCTAATGGGAATTGAAATGGCCATAGAATTGGTTGCTTGTACTGGTACAAGCCATCCTAGTTAAGCAGCAAACAGAACAAAATATCCCAAGCACCAGCTCATAAGGTGCTAAAGTGCAGAAGTTCTCTAATGGAAACTTGATTTATCACAGCCACTCAAGAGTAGTACAAAACAAAAAAAAATCACAAGGCATAGTTAGGGAAGGGGAGAGCAGCGCGGCACAAGACTAGGGTTCCATATCATCTCAGCTCCACAAATATCACATATCAAAATGATTGATCAGGTTGATATATGCAAGATATTCAAGATACTGTTTTCATAGCATCTCACCTGAAAAGCAACCAGGGTAACAAAACAAACAAGTTAAAATTGTATTTTAACTTTGCAGTAAAATCTTCTTATTACATTGCTCCCTCACACTAGTGGAGAAATGAGATCTAGTCCCGGTTGGGAACTAGCTCTACCCCCGGTTTCCCAACCGGGACTAGCAATCCAGGACTAAAGGTTGGGGGATCTTTAGTCCCGGGCACATAACCGGGACTAAAGGTTCATCCCCAGGAGAAAAAATAAACGAAATAACAGGGAGACCTCTCTTGCGGTGTATGAGATTCGAACCCAGGACCTCTCTCCTCGCGCATAAACTCCTTACCAACTCAGCTGTACACCACATGTGATAGAGTCCTGGACACTCTCCTTTTGAATTGACCCATGGGATACCTTTAGTCCCGAGTGAAAGGCCTTTAATCCGGGTTGGTGATACCAACCGGGACTAAAAGGTCACCCTTTAGTCCCGGTTGGTATTACCAACCGGGACTAAAGGTTGAAGGATAACACCAACCGAGACTAAAAGGTTGACCTTTAGTTCCGGTTTTAGGCTCCAACCGGGACTAAAGGTGGCATGCTGCGAAAGCCTACCAGGACAGGAGACTTTAGTCCCGGTTGGTAGCTCCAACCGGGACTAATTCTCCCTCTACTCCTGGACGCAAAAAATATCGAGACTAAAACCCAAAATCGAAGTAGATGAAAGGTCATTTCTCTACTAGTGTCAAATTCAAATATAATAACATTATTTGAGTGGTCCATCCATGTATATTTCTTACATTACAGTAAATTATGTCAGTATAGTTCTACTTGTGATTTTCAAAGATGTCAAGTTACTGATAAAAGACAATGAAGAGCTCCCATTTGGATCAAACTGACAGCTCATTGCTCATATATGTTCAAGAAATATTTGATGCACTACTAATCGTGAATTATGTTAGTATAGTTCTACTTGTGATTTTCATGAATCAAAATGGCAGTGTAGTTTCTTCATACAACAAATCAGAGGTGCTACTACTACTAAACCAGCTGGAACAACCCAACAATGCAACCAAGAGGTCATCTTACTGTTAATAAAACAGGAGCAGTGGAGGAAGTAGCTCCAGTAGTGAATACATACCCATGGTGGTAGTAGCTCCAACACCTCCGGATCCAGGAGAGGGAGGGACGGCGCCGGGGAAGAAGGCCAGGGAGGGGCGGCGCCGGGGAAGAAGAAGGTCGGGGAGGGGCGGCGCCGGGGACCACCACCACCACGCCAGCACCACGAAGCCTGCCGCCACGCCGCACGTCGCCCGCCGCCCGCCACCACCAGAGCCCAGATCTGGCCGCCACCAGCCTCCACCGGCCGGATCCGGGAGAGGGAGGGGCGGCGCCGGGGAAGAAGGCCGAGGAGGGGCGGCACCGGGGACCACCACCACCACGCCAGCACCACGAAGCCCACCGCCACGCCGCCCGCCACCACCAGATCCCAGATCCGGCCTCCACCGGCCTCCACCGGACGGATCCGGGAGAGGGAGGGGCGGCGCCGGGGAAGAAGAAGGCCGGGGAGGGGCGGCGCCAGGGAAGAAGGGGAGGGCGGTGGTAGGGAGGGGAGGGGCACTGGGGGCCGGGTGCCGGGGAAGAAGAAGGGAGGGGGCGCTGGGGTCCAAAAGCAGAGGAAGAAGAAGGGAGGGGGAGGGGGCACTGGGGTAAGAAGAAGGGAGGGGGAGGGGGCGCTGGGGTACGGGTGCGGAGGAAGACGGGACTTTCTTTGTTTTATTATTTATTTTTTCTGTGCGTGCATATATTTTTTCTGTGTGTTTTTAAAGAACCGACAGAATAAATTGTATTTTTCTGTGAGTTCTTATTTTTCCGTGTGTGTATTGTCATGCACAGAAAAATCATACAATTATTCTGTCGGTTTTTGTATTTTTTTATCGGGATATTTTAAAACCGACAGAATAATCGTAATTTTTCTGTGCGTACCAAAAAAATGCACAGAAAAATTCGTGACCCACAGGACAATTCGAGTTTCCAGTAGTGTAAGGGCATGTTTGAATCCCATACAACTAGCAATTAGCTGCTAGAAATTAGGTGAGATTTTAATTGGATTCTCAGCTAATAAGTCAGCTAGTGCTTGTTTTACCTACCACCAAACTTAGGGCCTGTTTGGATCTCTTCCTCTTAACTTTAGAGCTATAAAAGCTTTAGACCACTTTAGCTCACTTTTTGAGCTCTAAAGTTCTAATGTGAGGTGGGATAAAGTTTAGAACCTGTTTGGCAGGGCTCCCGTGGGCTCCGGCTCCTGCCTGTCGGGCGCCCATGGGCCGATAGGTGCCAGCGGGAGCCGGAGCCGCGGAGCCCGAAAAACGAGCTTCTCCGGCTCCGGCGTTGTCTGTGAGGGAGGAAAGGAGGAGAGAGAAAAACGGCTCCGGTAAACAGTAGCCCCCTATCGGCCCGTGGGAGGCCGATAGGTGAACAGTGCAGGAGCCGGAGCACGCGGGAGCCCTGCCAAACAGATCCTTAGAACTAACTTTAAACCACTTGTTTGGAGATTTATCTCTAAAGTTTAGATGAACAAATCCAAAGAGGCCCTTAGTTACCTATTAGTTGGCTTTTCTTGCTAGTACAACTAATAGTTAGTTGGATGGATCTGAACGGAGCTTAAGAAGTACAACCAACTATAATGTAAAATTTAAAATCTCCAACAATATGGTTGTGCTAGCTAACAGCTAAGTGTACCCAAAAAAATGGATACCCAAAAACCTTAGTAACTAATGCTACAATCTTGGTAGATTTTCAAGAATTGTAAAAGGAATCTTAGTTTAATTTCAGAAACTGACTTTTTTATTGAAAAAGTTGAAACTGAAGTTGACCATTCAAAAAAATCAAAAGAAGAAGCTGACTTTTGATTTACATCGACGACGACTTTTGCAGCTGATGATGATATATATACAGCGGCGCGCATCATATGCTGCAGCATCGTCGTCTGCGCCTTCAGAAGAAGAAAAAAACTGAGATAGAGGTGTGTGACACAGGCACTTGGTTGCTTCATCTTTTGCATTGCTCGCTAGCTCTGGACTCTGCTGGAGTCGAAATTCTTCCACACATGCATTCATGCATGCAGCAGCTAGCTTATATATACAGTGTATATCTTTGCAGGTCGACGACGACGCTCCCAGCAGCTAGCCAGTAGAGAGACGACATCGATTGTATTGCATGCGTTGCCGGCCGGCCATCCACCAGGCATCGACCATGGCCGCCGCCACGCCTGATGTTGCAAGGTCAATGTTAGCGGCCATCGTCCTGCTCGTCGCCGTTGGAGCGTCGACGACCGTACTGCACCTGGCCGCCGCCGCCGCAGTGCCACCGCTGGACGCAGCCCAGCATGGTGTTACAGTAAGCGTCAGCCAACGCCAGGTGCGTGCGCTGCGTACTACTCCTACTCCCCTAGGCTATGTATAAGGGGTTTGTTCCTCATTACCGTACCATATTGTTGGGTCGTTGAAATCCGGTAGTTCAGCGTATGGACAACAAGAAACAACCATATCCTGAGCACAAGTCAATCACAGTAGTTTCTGGGAGTAGGCCCTATATATGCCTCCTTTTTTATTGTTTTTTCTCCTGTCTTAATAAAATGATATGCAATCCGGCCTCCTGCATCGTAGGAATGTAGAAATATTTTTTCCACGAGTTCTCCATGGTTACCCATGAAATTGTTAAAAAAAATATGTGTATATATTCCCAGATATATACTATAGGGTGCCTCAACTCGATCTTTTGTAATTTTCCATGTACTCTTTCTTTCTGTAATATAATTTTTTTTTACCTTTTTAACACTAACATGTATACAATTGTTGGTTAAGGGTTGCTCCAAAGTCCAAAGATTGGCAATTTTAAAATGCAGCAAAGTCAATAAGCATGTGTGTTGATGTCTGCACTTAAATTTGCAGGTAATTGTGGACAACGGCATGGTGCAGGTGACGCTGTCGTCAGCGCCGCAGGGACAAATCACCAACGTCCGCTACAACGGCGAGCAAAACCTTCTGTACTACACTGGCGGGGGCAACACTGGAGGGTAAATTAGGGATCTGCTATTTAACAGACTACTGAGATCTTTGTTCTTATTAATTAGGCGACATATATGATAGGCATCAGATTTTGATGAATATATGATTTGTCTTCATCTTCCTTCAGTCATCGTCTTTCTTGGGTCGACACGTGGCAGTGTCAGCTCCCTCGCCTACCACCCTCCTCCAGCCGTACCCAGCGGTGCTACCGCCGCTCCTGCCACGCTAACTAGTGCAACATAAGATCCCCTACCCATGTGCCGACGGTGGCTCGCTCTCTGCCTTACTGCTCCACCCCTTGCCCGTCACCTCTATATGTCTTCCCTGTCTCCCCTGAATCTTTTCTAAGCCCAAAGCATCCCTAATCCAGGTTGGAACACAGAGCAAGTCACCTGAGATATTTGAAAATCTCATGCTCCTTTAGTTTAGGAGAAGTGGATAAATTATTGGCCGATACAAGGGAAAGTTAAATATGCCCCTAAGGGCATGTACGTGCACCGATTCTCTCCTCCTCTACATCATTTAACTTGTCTCTCTTCTGATGTGCATCTATCTCCGTACACATCCAACGATACAGGAGATGGACGCACGTGCCCTTCAGCCTTGTTTAGATATTGTCGATTCACCTCAATCCACATGTGTTAGAATGGAATTTAGTTCAAGTTCTACTCCAATCCACCCCAACACATGTGGATTAATGCGAATCAAACTATATCCAAACAAGGCCTTAGAGGGGAACCGCGTTCGTCAACACAGATTAAATTGTGACTAGTAATTTGCATAATCTTCTTTCTAAAAGGTTGTCCATTGATTATTTGGTGTAATTGTTCATATGATATAAACAACGCAACGCAGCAGCCATATATGGACCATACACTACTGGAAACTCGAATTGTTCTGTGGGTGACGAATTTTTTTGTGCGTTTTTTCGGTACGCACAGAAAAATTACGATTTTTCTGTCGGTTTCAAAATATCCCGACAGAAAAATATAAAAACCCACAGAATAATTGTATGATTTTTCTGTGCGTGACAATACACACACGGAAAAAATCAGCACTCACAGAAAAATGCAACTTATTCTATCGGTTTTTTAAAAACGCACAGAAAAAATATATGCACGCACAGAAAAATATTATTATTATGTCGGTTATTTTAAAACGCACAGAAAAAACATACACACGCACGGAAAATTTCAAACGACCAACCCCTCCCTTCTTCTTACCCCAGCGCCCCCTCCCCCTCCCTTCTTCTTCCTCCGCACCCGAACCCCAGCGCCCCCTCCCCCTCCCTTCTTCTTCCTCCGCACCCCGGTCCCCCGCCCCTCTCCTTCTTCTTCCACGGCACCCGCCCCCAGTGCCCCCTCCCTCCCTTCTTCTTCCTCTCCTCTGCACCCGTCTTCCTCCGCACCCGAACCCTAGCGCCCCCCCTTCTTCTTCCTCCGCACCCGGACCCCAGCGCCCCCTCCCTTCTTCTTCCCCGGCACCCGGCCCCTAGCGCCCCTCTCCTCCCTACCGCCACCCCTCCCCTTCTTCTCCCCTTCTTCCCTGGCGCCGCCCCCCCCTCTCTCGGATCCGGTGGAGGCCGGTGGCGGGCGGATCTGGGCTCTGGTGGTGGCGGGCGGCGTGAGGCGTGGCGGCGGGCTTCATGGTGCTGGCGTGGTGGTGGTGGTCCCCGGCGCCGCCCCTCCCCGGCCTTCTTCCCCGGCACCGCCCCTCCCTCTGTCGGATCTGGCCCTCCCTCTCTCGGATCCGGCCGGTGGAGGCCGGTGGCGGCTGCATCTGGGCTCTGGTGGTGGCGGGCGGCATGCAGCGTGGCGACGGGCTTCGTGGTGCTGGTGTGGTGGTGGTGGTCCCCGGCGCCGCCCCTCCCCGGCCTTCTTCTTCCCCGGCGCCACCCCTCCCCGGCCTTCTTCCCCGCCGCCATCCCTCCCTCTCCCGGATCCGGAGCTGTTGGAGCTACTACCACCATGGGTATGTATTCACTACTGGAGTTGCTTCTTCCACTGCTCCTGTTTTATTAACAGTAAGATGACCTCTTGGTTGCATTGTTGGGTTGTTCCAGCTGGTTTAGTAGCAGTAGCACCTCTCTCTCTTTGTTGTATGAAGAAACTGCACTGCCATTTTGATTCATGAAAATCACAAGTAGAACTATACTAACATAATTAACGATTAGTAGTGCATCAAATATTTCTTGAACATATATGAGCAATGAGCTGTCAGTTTGAACCAAATGGGAGCTCTTCATTGTCTTTTATCAGTAACTTGACATCTTTGAAAATCACAAGTAGAACTATACTGACATAATTTACTGTAATGTAAGAAATATACATGGATGGACCACTCAAATAATGTCATTATATTTGAATTTGAGGGAGCAATGTAATAAGAAGATTTTACTGCAAAGTTAAAATACAATTTTAACTTGTTTGTTTTGTTACCCTGGTTGCTTTTCAGGTGAGATGCTATGAAAACAGTATCTTGAATATCTTGCATATATCAACCTGATCAATCATTTTGATATGTGATATTTGCGGAGCTGAGATGATATGGAACCCCAGTCTTGTGCCGCGCTGCTCTCCCCTTCCCTAACTATGCCCTGTGACTTTTTTTGTTTTGTACTACTCTTGAGTGGCTGGATGAATCAAGTTTCCATTAGAGAACTTCTGCACTTTAGCACCTTATGAGCCGGTACTTGGGATATTTTGTTCTGTTTGCTGCTTAACTAGGATGGCTTGTACCAGTACAAGCAACCAGTTCTGTGGCTAGTTCAATTCCCATTAGAGAGAGAGAATTAAATTAAGCTCCAGGTGAAATTAAGTTGCAGTTGTCATGCTGATAATGGGTAAATCTGAGCTATTTCTCGAGTTCTTTTGCTCCAGGTGAAATATATGTAGTTCTTGTGCTTTTGACATACTGCTCTCTAATGGATCTGGAATGACCAATAGTTTCTTTTCTATTAGCTCAGTTCAATAGAGCTCTGTGATTTTTGCATTGCTATTTGTAGAAGAACATGACTTTTTTGCACGCAAATCATATATTTGTTGCCTTGGACTGTGAAACTTAGGTAATACTTTTGAATGTCAAATTTCTTGAGATGGTCACTGTCTTGTGGTATTTCTTCTGTGAAATTTTGGTAATTATATACTTTCAAATGTGAAATTTCTGGAGATGGTCACTGCCTGCCTATCATTTCTTTTGCACTTGTAGATTAGTAAGTTCTTCCTATCTCTGGCAACTGTACTGCTTTGTGAAGGCTAGAAGTAATTATGGGCAGCATTTGTATTATGAAAACTTGAGTATGTGTAAGAACTAAGAAGCTTGTATGCTATGGCTACTGCTTTAGGCTCTTACCATTGACGAGTTCTATCGAATGCATCTTTAGTTTTATTTTGTTTAGGCTTAGTTTTATATTTAGTGGTACAGTAAAAAAAGAGATGATGGGTCATTGTGAATGGGACTGGTTGTTCTGTACCTACAGTAGCGCTAGCTGCGTATAAAGGCTTAGATCGCTGCATCCAGTGTTTGTTGAGAAACGGTGCTAATCCCAATTTACCTGATGAAGTGAATTCTACCTTGCTATTTCTCAATTTCAAAATTAGTAGCAAATGTGTTTTTTTTGTCCTGCATAGTAAATTGAATTTGGTGACATAATTTGAATTGACAGATGAATTCATGGAATTCTTTTCCAAGTTTGGAAAGGTTGTGCAGCTGTACCAAATGCTGCTGTAGTTGGCAGATGCTTGTAATCTTTGGCAAGTGATACCTCTTGTAAAGCCAAAGGTGCAACCTGCATGTGGTAAGTCTCATTTGTTACTTCCACTATTTCATCTCGAACATACAGTGCGTACTAGGAATTGGTGGAATCAATGTTCACAAGTTTTGACCAATAATTACTCAAAATTTGAACATGTTTAGTCTACAAGAGTTGCACCACTAGATTCCTACTTGGAATATCATTAATACCGATATTGATTTTGTATCAATTGGTAATATACTCTATGAGAGATTAATGGTCCAAGTGTAGTATGGTTTACTTTCTCCAAACATAATACACCCTATATTTTGGGATAGAGGGAGTATTAGTATAAGTAAATTATGCTAAATCTAGTAGGCAACTGATCCTTGAGTTAGAAATATTTGTTGAGTGGTGCTCACAGAAGGCCTCTACAAATGGGGTTTCTCTTGTAGTGAAAAAAGATGTCAGAGGGAAGGCACTTGAGGCAGTTGAAGAAAAACAGGAAGAGGAACAGAAGAAGAAAAGAGGTGCTGATGTGGCAACAAGGAAGAGGCAGAGGGATGAGGAGGAAAGGAGGGAAAAGGAGAGAAAAAAGAAATGCATTGAAGAAGCTCGAAAACAACAGACGCGACCTATGGAAAGAAAGCATGCCAACAATGACAAAGAAGCTCATCCAGAAGCTCAGGTGAGTAGAAGCTATATTGTTTGTCTATTGGAAATCTGGTATAACTTGTTTGTGTGTGGAATCACATGAATGCATTCATCTCTTTGCGCATATTGTTGGACATATTTGATTATCTATTTACCACTATTGTCTATTAGAGCACATGCTCTTGATCATATAAAATTAAAAGTAGTTACTTGTCTTTGTTTTGGTGTTGGCAACTTAGTTTGTTAGCTACTAGCTTAATTTGTTATCAGGACAACATGGAATAACCCAAGCACAGGATCAAACTGACAGGGTGTTCTTAGTCCACATGAATTTGTTGGCTACTAGCTTAGTTTGTTATCTACAGCACTAAAAATATGTAGTTACTTGTCTTTGTTTTGGGGTTGGCAACTTAATTTGTCTGTTTATTCATTGTGATCTCTCTGTTCAGTCCTTACATTGTTATACTAGCTTTATCTTGGTTATGAGAAATTATCTTTCAAAATCATATCAGTCTTCCATTTTGTTGATCATTATTCTTAATGTGTCAGGAAAGGGGTATGCAAGTCTTCCCGTCGCCCACACAGAAGGCCCAACAATGCCATGGGTGTTTTTGCTTCTCCGCCTGCACCTCGTCCACCCCAGCAGTTCTCAGCTCTCATAAGATCTCAGTCAATGCTTGATCTACAGGATGTGATAGACTCAACTGCCATGGTCACTCCCAGGGACAAGCGCATGAAGAATTAGCAAAAGTTAAATAGTATCAGGGACAAGCGCATGAAGAAATAGCAAGAGCTGAATCTTGGTTAGTTTGAGGGTTTTGAATGTATTGATGCCGGTACATTTGGACATCATCTATGTACCTATGAATGTGCTAAACATTTAGACACATATGAATGTATTTATTGTGTTGTGATGTGTCATGAAATTACTGTATGGACAATATATATTTTAATATGTTGTTGCTACTGATTCAAAATAAATTATTTTTCTGTGCGTTTAACTCTTTTTTCTGTGAGGATGGCTACACAGAAAATTACTTTTAATCTGGGCGAAAGGAATTTTTCTGTGAGTTCACCTGGACCGACAGAAAAATACACGTATTTTCTATGTGTTTATTTCTTTTTTTCTGTGTAGATATCCTCACAGAAATTTTATTTTTAATCTGGCCAAACACAATTTTTCTGTGCGTGTAAGACCGACAGAAAAATTGTTTCTGACGGAGAATACACAGAACAATTGAATTTTTCTGTCATTATATTTTCGTGTGTATTTTTTGGAGGGTACACCATCAGAAAAATATTTTTCTGGCAGTATTCGCATTTTTCTGTGTGTTTTCGCACACATAGAAAAATGTGAGTAGTGATATGGCTCATTGATCTTTGTTTCTGATTATAAATAATCTCCTGCAGGTATTGGGACGTGCTCTGGGACTATCCCGGATCAGGTCGGCCAGGAGTGATCAACATGTGAGTTCACAAATAATTAAAAGGGAGTTGCTTGCTTGCTGTGCGTTGGCTGTTGAGCGACTTTATTTCAAGCAGAGAGATTTATAATATATATACCACTTAAGAAGATACTTACATAAATAAACATACAAGAATAACTAACTTGAATTACTTTTGTACAGGTTGGACGGTTCAGAGTTGAGGGTAGTATCCTCAAGCGAAGAGAAAGTGGAGCTTTCTTTTAGGAGCATCAACTACAATCCGTCGCTCCCAAACAGCGTCAGGCCAAACATCGATTAGAGGTAATATGATGCGCATGCAATGGATGGAAGCACCGATGTACCAGATCAATGCAATCCCCTTTTTGTCCCATCCGAATCCAATCCTATGATGAAATCTTGAGAACGAAAGAAGAACTAGTGAACTACTGTTGCATTGCATGCTGTTTCAGGTTTGTGATGCTGAAAGGCAGCTCTGGTTTCTACTGCTACGCCATCTTGGAGCACGCCAGCAGCTATCCTGCTCTCATCGTCGCCGAGTCTCGGATCACCTTCAAGCTCAACACGGACATGTCAGTCCCTTCAACTTCACTCACCAATTCAACTACCTCTACCTCGACCTCGATCGATCTCTACAGCTGACCTAAAATGGCGTGCGTCTCTCTCTCTCTCTCTCTCTCTCTATATATATATATATATATATATATATATATATATATATATATATATATATATATATATATATATATATATACTAATTGCACGCACATACTAATCACACACACATCCTGCATCAGTGCTCCAAATAGTTACGCCGGATAGTGCTTGAATAGTGAATGGATTGAGTGCCTGAGCCACTCCCGGGTGAGTGCTTGTGCACTGTTTATATTCTGAATTTAAATAGTAACGAGTATTTTGAATAGTGCCGCGAATTTGAAAAATTGGATGCTGAATTTGAATAGTGCTGTGAATAGTAACTCGAGAATTTTAAGTTTGAATTTTGAATTCGAGTTAGTTTCCAGTGTTCGCTGTAATATCTCCGTCGTTCAACTACATGGCGATCTCAGACGATATACAGAGGTACATGCCCAGCGCAGCAGACAGAGTTGTGCCACGTTGCTCTCTACTGGCCTACAAGGAGGCCGTCCTGCTGGTTGACCCCGTGGAGCCACAGTTAAGGGGGAGGTGGACGACAAGTACCAGTACTCGCTGGACAACGAGGACAACGCCGTCCATGCACTAGTAGAGAACAGATTTTTCATCCGAGGTCAAAATAAGCTCTAGTCCCGGTATTTTTTGCGCCCGGGACTAGAGAGACCTTTAGTTCCAGTTGGAGACACCAACCAGGACTAAAGGTCCCTGCCCAACGGCTACTGCGCTCGGCACAGTGGCAGGGGACCTTTAGTCCCGGTTGGAGATACCAACCGGGACTAAAAGTCCTCCAACCTTTACTCCCGGTTGGTAACACCAACCGACACCAACCGGGACTAAAGAGTGACCTTTTAGTCCGGGTTGATGTTACTAACCGGGACTAAAGGACCCTTTAGTCTCGGTTGGTAACATCAACCGGGACTAAAGGTCTCCCGATGGGTTAGTTCAAAAGGAAAGCATCCCATCTATTGTTAGATGTGTTGTGTAGGTGGGGTGGTAAGCTACGCGTGAGGCAGTGTATGAGGTCTTGGGTTCGAATCTCACGGGTCGCAGCGGTGGGAGGCATTTTTTTTAAAACTGGAAGGATCTTTAGTCCCGGTTGTGTCAAACCGGGACTAAAGAACAACATCTTTAGTCCCGGATTGCTAGTCCCGGTTGGGAAACCGGGAGTAGAGCTAGTTCCCAACCGGGACTAGATCTCATTTCTCCACTAGTGATGGCTGGATCGGAGGCGGCCGCACCCGCACCAACCCAGCCATGGGCTTCTAGGTCATCACACCCAGCAACGAGTTCAAGAGCGGCGGCCCCATGAAGCGGGAGCTCACCTCCCACGTCGAACCCGTCTCCATGGCCGTAAGAAAATTTCTTCTTCTTACTAGAATACTCATCACTATCGGTTCCTGACCCACTTTCACTGTCGTTTTCGCGCTTCGGCAGTAAATGTAGACGATGCTAAGGAACCTAATCACCATCAGTATGAAACCAGCGATGAAAATTGAATAAAAACATTTAATATAAAATACACGGGCCCTCGGCCACCGCCTGCACCCGCATCGGCCACAGCCGGCCAGGGGTGAGGGCCGGGGGGCACATCGGGAGGAAGGCAGGGGGCACATGGAAGGAAAGGGAGGACGGTGTGGAGGAGGAGAAGAGGTTAGGAGAAAAACAATATAAGGCTGAGATAGTTGTGGGTCCCATGTAAACTTTTCACCATCAGTTTCAAAAATTTCGGCGGTGAAAAATGATGTTGTGAAAAGGTTTTCTATGTAAAATAATCTGTTGTTCTCCCTATGTACGCACGGCAGGGGCAGGCGTCAAAATGGCTCCCCTGCTGCTGCACTGTAGCCGTGGCAGGAGCAGGCGCCGAAAGGCTCTCCTGCCACACTGTAGCCACAACAGGGGCAGGTGCCAAAGTCAGTCATCCTGTCACTTCTAGTCACTGTAGCAATATGGTAGCCGGACATGTTTGTGAACTAGGACTAGATGGTAGAGTTGTATATATTGTTTTCACTGCGACTCAATAAACAGAGAGTTTAGTTTTGCATTCTCCACCGCTGAGTTCCGGCCAACGCTAGTGCCTCTATCGTGTGTGTGCTCTGTTCTCCCTCCCTCCTCTACCTCCAGCCGTAGTGTATGTGCGAGAGCGCCGATGAGCAGTCTGCTCACCCGTGCATGTGATTTCGGCCCCAACAAGTGGTATCGGAGCGAGGTTGGGTGTTCGCCTGCGACGATGGAGGGCGACGACAGTTAGGGCGGTGGTGAGAAGTCGCTACGGCAGACTCAGTCACCGGTGCGTCACGAGGTGGTCATTCAGAGGGCCGTGCAGGATGTAGGCAGAGCCAACTGGCCAATCCTCACTCGCACCAACTACGGTGAGTGGTTGGTGACCATGAAGGTCAAGCTCAGAGCCCGACGGCTCTAGAAGGCGATTGACCTGGGCACCGAAGATGAAGAGGAGGACTGCTCGGCGCTGGAGGCAATCCTAGCCGTCGTGCCTCCGGAGTACCGGGAGCCGTTGGGGTCGAAAGACTCTGCCAAGGAAGCTTGGGACACCCTCAAGGCCATGCGGGTTGGGTCCGACCACGCAAAGAAGGCAAAGGCGCGGCAACTGCGGCGGGAGTACGATGAACTGGCGTTCCACGATAGGGAGGCGGTGGAGGACTTTGCCCTCAGGCTGCAGTCCCTCATCAGTCAACTGGCGGCGCATGGCATCATCATCGATGACAAGGAGGAAGTCTCCAAGTACATGCGCGTCGTGCCGCCCAAGTACACCCAGATCGCTCTCTCCATTGAGATGATGCTGGACCTGTCGACCCTCTCAATTGAGGATCTGATAGGACATCTGTGGGCGGTGGACGACTGCACAGGGGCGACTACAACACCAGTCGGCAGCAAGCTACTGATGACCGAGGAGGAGTGGACTGCTCGGCAGAGGTAGAAGCAGTCCGGGGAAGCCTCCTCCAGCCGCGGTGGCAACAGGAAGTGCCGTGGTAAGGCCCGCAGAAGAAGAAGGATGGCAAGCCCCTGGGCAGGGACACTTGCCGCTGCTGTGGGAAGACTGGCCACTGGGCCAAGGAGTGCCCAAACTAGAAGGAGAAGAAGGCTGAAGCTCACCTGGCGAAGGTGGGGGATGACAAGCCAACTCTCCTGATGGCAACGCTTTGTGTGCTACATGACGTCAAGGCAAAGGTGAAAGCAGAGGAGGTGGCGACCGCCGAACTAGGGACTGCTCGGCAGAGGGCCATCGACCTCGATGAGCCACGCGCCCAAGTCCCTCTCAAATGAGTGGGCGGCGAAGTGGAGCAGAGGTGGTACCTGAACTCCGGCGCCAGCAACCACATGACTGGCTCCAAGGCATTTTTCTCCGAGCTTGACGGCAGTGTGACGGGGTTGGTGCAGTTTGGCGATGGCTCGAAGGTGGAGATTTGAGGCCGTGGCACCGTCATCTTTCGCTGTCGGAACAGTGAGCACCGCTCGCTGACGGATGTGTACTACATCCTACAGCTGCGTTCAAACATCATCAGCATCGGGCAGCTGAATGAGCGTGGGTGCGAGGTACTGATCGAGAGTGGGATCCTGAAGATTCGGGATCGGTAGCGGTATATTCTCGTGAAGGTAAAACGCTCACGCAATCGATTGTACCTGCTCGACTTGAAGGGGGGCAGCCGGTGTGCCTGGCGGCACGGCACATCGAGGAGCCGTGGCTATGGCATGCATGGTTCGGACATCTCAGCTTCGACGCGCTCGGTCGGCTAGAGAAGATGGTCCGAGGGCTGCCCCACATCAAGCACGCAGGCGAGCTGTGTAACAGCTGCCTAGCCAGGAAGCAGAGGAGGTTGTCGTTCCCAAAGGCGGCCAAGTATCGCGTGGAGGCTGCTCTCGAGCTCATCCATGGCGATCTCTGCGAGCCGATCACACTAGCCACAAATGGTGGTCGGTGGTACTTCATCCTGCTCGTGGATGATTGCAGTCACTACATGTGGCTACAACTCCTGACGAGCAAGGACGAGGCGGCGGAGGTGATCAAGAAGTTCTAGGTGCGGGCGGAGGCAGAGTCTGGGAAGAAGCTGCGCGTGCTAAGGATAGATTCAATTTGGTGGAGTTCACTGCGTACTATGCGTATCAGGGTGTGGTGTGACACCACACCGCACCATACTCGCCATAGCAGAATGGCGTAGTGGAGCGGTGGAACCAGACGGTGGTCGGTATGGCTTGATCCATGTTGAAGGCCAAGAGCATGCTGGCAAGGTTCTGGGGTGAGGCAGTGACTACGGCGGTGTTCATCCTAAACCACGTGCCCACAAAGGCCCTAGAGGGCATGGCGCCATTTGAAGCTTGGTATGGGCGCAAGCCGAGCGTATCCTTCCTCAGGACATTCGGTTGCATCAGCCACGTCAGGAAGACAAAGCCAGTCCATACCAAGCTAGAGGATAGGAGCACACCGATGGTGCTCCTGGGCTACGAGGAGGGTACCAAGGCATACAGGCTCTACGACCCACGCGGAGGCAAGGTTGTTTACTCGCGTGATGTCATGTTCAACGAGAAGGCAGCTTGGGACTAGGACAGCCCGGGCACAGGGGAAGCTGGCGGCTTCACCAGCACCTCCGTCGTCGAGCACTTGGTCATCCACGGTGGTAGATACGTTGGAGAGATGGTGCCAACCACTCCAACAGTAGAGCCGAGCACTCCTGGGACAGTGCCGACCACTCCAGGAGGGTGCAGAGCACTCCAAGAGTGGAGCCGAGCAGTCCTGCGGTGGTGCCGACCACTCCAGGACGGGTGCCGAGCGCTCCCATGGCGGAGCCGAGCAGTCTTGCAGTGGTTCCGACCACTCCAAGGCTGGTGCCGAGCACTCCTGCAGTGGTGTCGACCACTCTAGGAGTGATGACGAGCGGTCCAAGAGTAGTGCCGAGCACTGCAGCCGAGGTGCCGAGCACTCCAGGTGTCGTGCCGACCACTCCGACAGAACAGGGGACTCCATCGACACCGATCGAGTTCGCCTCACCTCCAAGTGACATCACCGAGTTTGTGGATGCCTTCCACGACGGTGAGGAGGTGCGGTTTCATAGGCTGGATGACATCGTCGATGGCATAGAGGCCTTGGGCCTTGCAAGTAGGCTGCTCAACGACCCAGAGCTGCTTCTCATCAGTAACGAGGAGCCACCCACGTTCGCGCTGGCCGAGCGCGACGCCAACTGGCGACGGGCGATGCTAGAGGAGATGAAGGCGATCGAGAAAATGAGACTTGAGAGCTTGTCGATCCACCTCTAGGATGTCGTCCGATTGGCCTGAAGTGGGTGTACAAGGTTAAGCGGGACGAGTGTGGTGCCATTGTCAAGCACAAGGCATGTCTCGTCGCCCGTGGCTTTGTCCAGCGCGAGGGCATCGACTTCGAGGAAGTCTTTGCGCTGGTAGCGTGCATGGAGTCCGTTTGACTGCTATTGGCTCTAGCAGCGGCGAAGGACTGGCGCGTTCATCACCTGGACATCAAATCGGCCTTCCTCAATGGCGAGTTGGCAGAGACGGTCTACGTCAGGCAAGCTCTAGATTTCGCCGTCAAGGGAGCAGAGCACAAGGTGCTCCGACTGCGCAAAGCAATCTACGGGCTGCGACAGTCCCTGAGAGCATGGAACGCCAAGCTTGACGCCACGCTGGGCGAGCTTGGGTTCACGCAATGCGCAACCAATCACGTGCTCTGCACGTGGCGATGGGGGAAGGAGGAGCTCATCGTTGGCGTGTATGTGGATGACTTGATTGTCACCGGCGCGCGTGCGGAGGACATCGATAGCTTCAAGTGCGAGATAGCGGCTCGTTTTCGAATGAGCGATCTCGGCGTGCTCTCCTACTACCTCGGCATCGAGGTGAAGTAGGGGAAGGAGGTGCTCACGCTCAGTCAGAGTGTGTACGCCTCGAAGCTATTGGAGCGGAGCCGCATGGCTGAGTGCAAGCCGTGCGCGACTCCGACGAAGGAGCTGCTGAAGTTGACAAAGGCCAGTACCACGGCAAAGGTGGATGCAACACTCTACCGGAGCATCATCGGCGGTCCGCGCTACCTAGTCCACACGAGGCCGGACATTGCGTTTGCCATGGGCTACGTCAGCCGCTTCATGGTGGATCACTGGGCCGCGGTGAAGCGGCTGCTGCGCTACGTGAAGGGGAAGGTGGATCAGGTGATTGTCTTCCCCAAGACCAGCGAAAGTGGGCTGCGGCTCACTGTCTTCAGCGATGCAAACATGGCAGGAGACATCGACGGACGACGGAGCACCTTCGGCATGCTCGTCTTCCTCAGGCCGGACCCAATCTCATGGCTGTCGCTAAAGTAGAAGGTGGTAGCGCTGTCCATGTGCGAGACGGAGTACGTGGCAGCGGCCACAACGCCGTGTCAAGCTGTGTAGCTACGCTGGCTGCTGGGCGAGCTGACCGGCCGGCAAGCTCATCCACCAGCGCTGATAGTGGACAACCAGCCCACCATCGTCCTCGCAAAGAATCCGGTTCTCCACGACCGGAGCAAGCACAACGATGTCAAGTTCCACTTCCTCAGGGACTATGTCGATGGAGGGCCGATCGTCATCGAGTTCGTCGAAACTGGTCGGCAACTCGTGGACGTCTTCACCAAGCCGCTCGACCGTCTTCGGTTCTTGGAGCTGAAGAAAATGATCGGCATGGTGTAGGTTCTCGGGTTAGCAGCAGGATTAGGAGAAGAATTGTAAAATAACCTGCTCCCTCTGTACGCACGGCAGGGGCGGGCGCCGAAAGGGCTCCCTGCTGCCAGATCAGAGTGGCAAGGTGAGCAGACGCCGAAAGGCTCTCCTGCCACACTGTAGCCACAGTAGGAGCAGACGTCAAAGTCATCCCTGCTATCACTTCTAGTCATCAGTAGTAACATGGCGTATGCATATGTCTGTATAGTAGTAGGACTAGATGGTAGAGTTGTATATATTGTTTTCACTGCAACTAAGTAAACAGAGAGTTTAGTTTTGCATTCTCCTCCGCTGAGTTTCGGCCAACGCTGGTGTCTCTATTGTGTGTGTGCTCTGTTCTTCCTCTCTTCTACCTTCAGCCGTAGTTTGTGTGCGAGAACGTCGGTGAGCAGTCTGCTCACAGCGTGTGATTTCGGGCCCAACATTCTATACTTTATTTCTTCCATTATAAATATTCAATACTCTATGACAGCGACCAGGGGCGGATCTCTATTAAATAGGGCTGCAATTGTTACCTATGCAACAAATAGATGTGTAGCTCGAGTGGCTAGACCAGGGTGGCCCAAGGAAGCAGAAGGAAGCAGGTCGTCGGTTCGAGTCCCTGCGGGTTCGCTTGTTTTTTATGTCGTTTCTATTTTGCATGGCACTGTGCTCGTGGCCGGCGTTGCTTGCATGGATTTCATTTGCCTTCGTAGCTGCTCGTGCGCGCGCGCGTTCTGGCTGTCCGCGGCAACGTTTTGCCCTGCGCGCCGTCGGCTTTTGGTTCGTTTTCGCCCTGCGCGTTTTAGCAGTCCGCGCGCGCGTTGATCTCATTCAAGCAGGTAGGTTTGGCGGTTTTTTTTTTCGTTCTCGACGCCGTCTTCCGTCATCATCTCCATGGAGTCCGGCGCGAGCTCCAGCGACGCCGGCGAGACGACCTTCTCCGCCTCCAGCGATTCCGACGTGATGGAGTCCGGCGCAAGCTCCATCTCCTGCTCGAGGCCGTCGTCATCTTCATGGATTCCGGCGCCAACGCCGACGTCGAGTCCGCCGAGGATGCATCCATGCAGTCTGGCGTGCGGTGAGGGCGAGGGCGTGCGGCGACGTGCAGCATGCGTCGAGCGGATGGGAGACGGTGCTAATAACTCACGCGGTTGGGAGGCCAATCGTTGCCGAGCGTCGAGCGCGGCGCTATTAACTCACGCGGCGCGGGAGCCCAAGCGCGAGGGGTAGCGGCGTCCAAAGCTGAGTACTTACGGCAGAACGACGTCTTTTTATCAACTCGAGTCCAAACGCAAAACGACCTCTAAAAGCGATATGGAGGGAGTACTCTATGACAGCGACCAGGGGCGGATCTCTGCCCTGCTAGCCTAGGGTGAGCCCCCAGCAATTAACATTGGGACTAGCCTTGCAAGGATGACCCCACCCCGCAGCACCCTAACGGAGGCGGAGGTTTCATCTTCGTGGTGGCGCCGCTCAACATATCCCGCTATGATGCTTTTGCTTGGCCTTGCTCACCTCCTCCTCAGCCCCAGTCCAGCAGCAGCACCCACGGGCCACGGCCCCACCATGTGAATGTGAATATGCTCCGTAACCACCTATCCACCACCCCTAACCGCATAGATATAAGATATGTCTCTGGATGCGATCAGCGTTCAGATCAATGGCTCCCCCAGCCCTAGGCCCCCACTTGGTGACTCCCATAAGCCCCAAGGTGGCCAGTAGCCAACACACTGCAGCTAGCGGTAGCCGCTATCCAACACTGGCTCCAGCAAGCAATACTATGTTTTTCTAGGTCACTAATAATTAAGAAAAAGTTTAGAAGGTTATGTATTTTTGTACAATACTATGTTTTGATAATTGTTAGTATATGCATTGTCAGGTGTTTCTAGGGACGCATTACACTGGGATCGACATAATGCTGAACCTGGGCGACGGCGAGTACTGGAAGAAGGTGATGGGCCCGGTGTTCATCTACCTCAACTCCAGCCCCAACAATGGCAGCGACATCCGAGCTTTCTGGGACGACGCCAAGGCGCAGGCGCGAGCGGAAGCCGGCAAGTGGCCGTACAGCTTTCCGGAGTCGCCGGGCTTCGCCAAGGCGGGCGACAGGGGCACGGTTACCGGCACTCTCCTGGTCAGGGACGCGTTCGCGAGCAAGGGCGGTGACGTGCCTGCTGCAACGGCGTTCGTCGGCTCGCCAGCCCGGCGGGCAGCCTGGCTCCTGGGCGACACAGTGCAAGGTGCGGTGACCGTGCCTGCAAGTTTGTTACACACATATCAGACGTTCTGATCGATGCATGCTATGATGCTTTTGCTTTGGCCTACACCTGCAGGGTTACCAGTTCTGGACGAGGGCGACGGCCAGCGGCCGGTTCAGCATCGGCGGCGTCCGGGCTGGAACCTACAGCCTCGACGCGTGGGTTCCCGGGTTCCTCAGCTCGGAGACTACGTGCACACCTCCACGGTGACCGTGACGCCAGGTGGCGCCGTTGACCTTGGTAGCCTCGTGTTCGTGCCCCCGAGGTCGGGCCCGACGCTGTGGGAGATGGGCGTCCCGGATCGGACGGCGGCGGAGTTCTTCGTCCCCGACGCCGACCCCAGATACGCCAGCAAGCTCTTCGTGGGGAAAGACGGGTACAGGCAGTACGGCCTGTGGGAGAGGTACGCCGAGCTGCACCCTGCTGGAAATGACCTCGTTTTCACGGTTGGTCAGAGCGACTACTCAAAGGACTGGATCTTCGCACACGTCACAAGGTAATCCACTAATCCTCCTATTATATATGAACAACAACCCTTACGGTAAAACTGCATCTATATATATGCAAACATGCATCTTTCTGTTTGCAGGATGGATGGCAACGTCAGTACACCAACGACACGTCAGATACGCGTGGCAAACGGCACCTACACCCTGCGCATTGCTCTTGCAGCTGCTTAAATGTCCAGACTCACGTTACACCTGCATGTTACATGTAACCTAATCAGCCAAACATGCATATCTGCTGATACAATGTGCTCTCGTCTTTGAAATAAGGTGCGCGTGAACGGCAGAGTGGCTAGGGAAGCCGTGTTCAGCACGCCGGAGTTCGGCAACAGCAACGCCATCGCGCGGCACGGCATCCACGGCGGCGTGCAGTGGAGCTTCGAGTTCCCCATCAGGGGCTACCTGCTGCGGCAAGGCGAGAACAGCATCAGCATCACGCAGACGATGGCGTTCGGGCCCTTCTTGGGGGTCATGTACGACTACCTCAGGCTGGAAGGGCCTCCGCCGGCATGATCACTCCGGCGACCCCCACGGCGCCGCTAGCCGAGAACAGCCACAACATCCTAGCAAGATATGGCAATGTAATCACAACTCACAAGTCAAAAAAACAACTCACAAGTCACAACAGGATGGATTCCCGCATCTGTATTCTTCTATTCTAGCAGTAGTAGCAGAAGAGTAGGAGTTACCAGAGTGAAAAAAGTTTGGAGGGGATTACTAGATGTTTCAAAAAATTCGACACAAACTAGCCCATCGATCCATGCTCCAAACATGGTAAAGTATGGTAATTCAATCCGCAGGTGCTGGTACGCAAGCCAAGTCACACCCGCAAGTTTCATCGAGTCGGAACCCGAAATGAATGAGGGTTATGTGCGGATGCTAAATCACACCCGTGAGTATCTATCGGGGCCCGAAATATAAGGAACATGCTACGTAACCAAGTATCCATGTCTAGATGTAACGACATGCATGTTTGCCATTTAGGTCTTAAATTTTAGTCCATTTCAAATATAAATGAGTGATATGTGGTAGATGACTAGATGTGTGATATAGATACAGGAATTTTTGTCTTTTTTTATTTTTATTACTTATTGATTAATCATGACGATATATTAATCACTACTACAGAATGGACCTGTTGTCCCGGGCGGTAACAGCCTTTAGTCCCGGTTACCGCGCCGGGACAACGATCCCGGGACTAAAGGTGGAACTTTCAGTCCCGGGTCATCGAGCCGGGATTAAAGAGGGACCTTTAGTCCCGGTTGGTAACACCAACCGGGACTAAAGGCCCTCCAGCCGAGCGAACCTGGCGCACCCTTTAGTCCCGGTTGGGGTTACCAACCGGGACTAATGGTTCACCCTTTAGTCCCGGTTGGTAACCCCAACTGGGACTAACGGTTCCTTTTCTTTTTCTTTTTTTTTTGTTTAATTTGTTTTCAGTTACACGTATTTGTTTAATATATAATATGTTTTTATGTACGTATTCTACGTTGCTAATATAAATACACGCATGCATATAATTACATCTAATTCTCATCTTGAGCATTATTATATTCGAATAAAGTATGAAACTATATATATTATAGATATATATATATATGTGTATATACAACACTTTCATAATCTTGTTCTCGAAAATAACGATATCAATAAACATTTAATTTACATCATTTATTCCTTAAGATCAAAGTAGAACTCGCCGCTGGGATTTAGCACTTTTTCTAGAAGATATCCTGCTATTGACTCTTGAACTGCTTTCGATGGTCTTTTTGCATGACCCTTCGTTTCAACCATTCAGTCTTGCATTTGAAATAAAAGGAAAAGTATTAATACACATATATGTATATATATTCTTTTAAAAATAAATAAATATTGATATATACGTATTCGAGGACATCTTCGTGAGTTCTTCTTATGTGCGCAGTGATAAATTCACAAACGTAGTATCCACACAAGTTATTACCGTTTCTCGCCAAGAAACACCACTCATCATTTAGAAGAAGATTATTCTCATCATCTCACACGTAAATTGAAGTACGATATAGTAATTAAACACGTGGGGAAGTGTATATAGTACAACTTATCGGTATTTCAACTACATTAAGTGGTGCCTTGCAATCCTTATGTATGTTGTCGAATAAACTCTTTCCAAACCCCGTGCGCACCAATAATGTACGATCGTTAATAAATTATGGCAAAGTCTATTCAATAATAGTTGTGCGCGAGAGATCGAAATTACCCCCCTGATAATATCTATCATATCTTGGTATAGTGCCCGTTCTTTTCTCAACGAGTCAAAGATTAGTAACCGACTTGAGTTTAACTCAATGACAATGAGTATCCAAAGAAAAACTGCATTGGTTTATACACACACGCATATGCATATAAGTTGTATTGATATTACATAAAATGTGTAGACTACATTATTATTAACACTTACTCAAAGTTGTACGGAAAAGTATTGTTGTCTTGTCGTGTCTTTGCTTCACGAAGAACTTCATGATATTCTCTCTGTGCTTTCGTATACCCAAAGGTCCTTGACAATAATATCGGTTTTGAATACGATATAAGGATCAATGAAGCCAACACCGTGTGTCTTGTATTCTTTGGAGCTCGACATCCGGAATCTATATATAAATATAAGTTACATGTGAGGATAATTATATACACGTACGCATGGAAGTGAGTTTATTAAATAAAAGTAAGAATCACTTACAAACAAAAGGAGCTCATGATTGATTTGTCCAGAGCGTCCAAGTGGAATAGTTGATGCAATTCTTCGAAACTAATATGTAAGATGTCATCGCCACGGAAGTAATGATGGTCTCTAAATCTGACAAAGATCCACTGCTCACCCCTGCCACACGCCTGCATGTACCACTTGTTGAGCAAGTACATTTATGCACTCCAATTCATTCAGAGTCATAGGTTGTACAGACTTTTGCCATATTTATAAGTCTTCCGTATCAACTTCCGTGTTCGGATTGGAGCTTTGCCCACAATTGATCCAAGGTTAAACCAAAGATCTTTAAAAAAAGCATTAAGGGCTTGAACCGACACTTCTCCGTAGTTGTCTCGGTCGATAGACTTCTATGTTGGAACCATATTCATTAGCAACAACAAGATTTTGCATTGGTTGCTTCGTTGTCCGAGCTGTGGGACATCCTTCCCGATGCTCTTTTCCTTTTCTTATCTCGCATCATGTGACTTCACGAGGGAGCGGGTCATAGTCCGTAGTGGCGAAGGCTTACGGTTCAATCATCTTTTTCTTGTGAGCATCGACCTTCTCGCCTCAAAGACATCTCGTGGTATGTAAAAGTACGGCTTCTCCTTAAGCTTTGCTTGACTCTTGTTTTTGATATCTATAAAAAATCTTTTACTTTTTTTGTCTTCTTCAAATTGCTATTTGCTCATCAGCCTTTTCAGAAGTATTTCTTGAGAAATAACTCTTTTTCTTGGGGTCTTCTTTGTCACGGACCTTAGACGCCTTTGTAGTGCGTCATTGTGGAGGGGGGGGGCGGTGTTGGAGATCGGCGTGGAGGCGATGAGGCCGGTGTTGGTGGAGACCGCGTGGAGACGTTGGAGATCGCTAGGAGGCGGTGGGGCCGGTGTAGGAGTTGGAGATCGCTGTGGAGGCGATGGGGCCGTGTAGGAGTTGGCGATCGCCGTGGGGATGAAGTCGTCTCGCCTGCATGACGCTGTGATGAGATGGGGAATGAATGATTAGGCTAGGTCTGGGAGAGACCCCGCTATAAAAACAATTTGTGTGTCAATTATTTTTGAAGCCAATAGAAAATTAATGGAAAATAATATTTCATTCACTTTCATTCGCACTCTAGGGTGAGGTAGGGGAAGCGGTGGCGCCCAGAATGATGATGAAGCGCTTATGCCCATTGAATAAATGTCTTCTCTGCTTCTCCTAGTGTCTTCTCCCCATCACCACCTTCAATGTCAAGAGGAACATTGTCAGTAACCTTTGAGCACTCTATCGACCGAGACGCTAGCATATCCAAAGTTGAATAACCGATCCATGGATTCTTGGTGTCTTCGTTTCGGTCTATTGGAGATACAACCCGACAGCCTACCATGATTGATGCATTACCATCCTGAATGTGCAGCTCACATTTTGTTAGAGGCTCGGTAATGTCATCAACAGGAAGCGCAACCCAGCGTCGCCTTGAATAACTCGGCAGCTCAGAGAAGCACAATCGCTTTCATCCGACCAACGGGCTAATGGTGACTCCGGCGTTGATTGCGATTGCATTTGACTCATTGCTAGCTGCACTTGCCTCTTGATCTCCTCCCGCATTCTTGCCTCAAGAGATTTTTTTCTCGCTCACGTGATTCAAGCAATGCTTGTCGTGACTCATCAACAAATTGCTCCAATGCACGAATTGCTCGCCTCCTCATCCTTCTTTCTCCTCCGGCGGCTTCAGAGGTATCCTTGTCTGCTTTGGGAATGCGTGTAGCCACGAAACCGCCCCATAGCCTCTTGTTCGACCACCGTGTTCGGGATTCTCTAGGGCATATGTCAATTCATCCTTCTCTCTGTTAGGCTTGAAAACACCACTATCAGCTTCTTCCCTAGCACGAGCTAGTCTCTATGTTGCTCTCTCAATTTTTTGGCCGAAAATTAGCTTGCCAGTGTCTGGGTCTAGGCTTCCCCATGAGCGTAGAACCAATTCTTCGCTGCGTTGAGGCCAGCTTCTTTTCTATTGTTTCGTGTATGATTCCTTGGCGTAAATCTCTTTCTAGGTTCTCGCCACTTGGGAATAGCACTCCTATAACCACCGATCCCATGCGATGATGGTATTGCTTCATCGCTTCGGCATTCTCACCGATTCCTCATCACACGCTTCCTCACTGCCTTGAGATGTCTTGTATTCTACGAAGGCATCCCAATGGGACTCAACTTGACAAACGCCTTAGCATTGAAATTTGGCGTAGCATTCTTCAAGATAAACTTTTATATACAATGTCTTCTTCCAACTCGAAACAATGTTGCCATCTTCTTCATTGTCCAATCCTCACTAGCTCCTTCAAAGCATCATCTCGCTTGTAATGTGAAATGTCGAGTGATATCTCTCCAAGCTAGGTTCTTATCACGATCGATACAAAACTAACATTAGGAGCGGATATCTTCGCTTCCATTCACGAGCACTAATCGGGATCCTATCCTTACAATGAACCCACATTGATTGACATATGTCCGAGCATGTGGTCCCAATGGTTTGCCGGTGTCGGTGTCGAATTTCGATATTATGAAACGGCCCTCTAATGGCTTTTTTGGCCCTCGGACTTTCCTACTTTTGTCGGTGGTTGATGTAGATCCGAGACCGCTACATGAGTAGAAACACAACGATTAACAACAAATATAATGCACGCATGCATCTATAAGAGATGATAGATAATCGAATATACCTCGCCAAAGATTTTCTTGCGCCGACAATTTGTTGATCTTCAACCACCGCATATTCGTGGATATCCTCATAATCAGCAAAGTAATCGACTCG